CCTAGCTGACACAGTGTCCGCGGTCAGTCGGGTAAGTGGTGTGTGTGTGCGTATGTGTGTGTGGGTAGTGGTGTAATAACACACAGTGCGCGCCCGTTCTTTTCAGACGCAAAACCAGTCAAGTCAGCTTTGCCGACTGCAGTTAAAGGCACAACTGAGGCTACTACACTAGTAGCATTCAGGGCGTGTGGCGCAGTGGATAGCGCGTTGGACTTCTAATCCAAAGGTCAAGTGTTCGACCCACTTTACGCCCTCTTTTTACCCTTTTTTGACTCTGTTTCCGGTAGAGGAAGCCCTCCGGAACATTTTGGTGAAAGCAGAATCCCAAAATTCCAAGTGGTTCCCGAGATATGGTCGATTTAAGAAACAGTATACTTTTTGTGTTAGCGCTGTAATGAGTCGACTTATTGTTCATTTTTTGGGTTTTTTACTTTGGGAGTAGGTAGAAGACATTTTCCGGAGCATTTACGTGAAAACCGAATCCCGATAGCTGATGTAGATCATGAGATATCGATGTTTAAAACTACACTCGATTTACTGAAAAGTGGGCTTTCCTGCGCCATCCACAAAGCATGTGTTTCAATGGGGCTTGTTATGATTCTCTAGGTACATTTATCTCAAGAACTACATATCAGATTAAGGTGATGTAAAAGGCAAAAATAAAGTTAAAAACTTAATCTAAACTTCTGTGGTTAAATATTTGAGTTAGATTATATTAAAATTATTATAAAAACTAAATAAACATTCCAACACCTTTTTTGTAAAATCTTATCACATTTTATCCAAATATTGAACCACTACAGTACTACTGGAAGAATGAGTGGTGCACTGGCCACTGACAATAATCGATTCTAACGATTCTAACGAGGCCGTGACTGAGAGAAGAGCCAGCCATGTCATTGTTCAACATTTCAAAAAAATCAAATTTTTGCTTTCACTGTTTATCATCGACCTCGCATCCGCTGCTGCTGCTGCTACTATTGAACACAGAGGAAACAACGGGGAAAATGCACAACGACAAAAAACGAGTACAGTAAAGCTTATTGGAAAACTATAAAACCCCTCCAGAGAGGCTTTGTGCCACACAACTTGTGATCCCCCTTTCATCATCCATCCATCCATCCATCTATCAATCACGTCATCATCAACAGCCCCAAACACACACACAGACTGTGACAGACAAATAGATAGATTGATAGCGGTTGTTAAACACTTGCTTTGTGCCCTCTCGCTCGCTCTCTCTCTCCTTAAACATCCTCTCCTTATCCTTCTGGCAAACCGAAGTGAATGCCAACAACAGCACAAAAAGCACNTTCGTTTCAGGGGCGACACACAACTGTGAAGCCTGTTTACGGTTTACAGTGTATCGAGCTATTGGCCTCCACAGTCCGCCAGTCAGTTGGCTGGGCAGAACACTGGTCTGATTAGATTCCACCGGCAAAGAGGGGGTTGTTGTGTTCAGTGCAGACACTGGCTGCACTGAAAGAGGACACCACCCAGCCAGGCTGTTTCGAGGTCAATCAGTTACACTTAACGGATCACTGAGTGCAGTAGA